GAAACCCCGTCTGTACTAAAAATACAAAAAAAATTAGCCAGGCGTTGTGGCGGGCGCCTGTAGTCCCAGCTACTCAGGAGGCTGAGGCCACTGCACTCCAGCCTGGGTGACAGTGTGAGACTCGTCTCAAAAAAAAAAAAAAAAAAAGCTGGTCAGCCTTAGGTCATTCAGATGTGCCCGATCCCTTGACTTTAAGATCACCTTTTATAAAATGTTTACTTTTCCTCTGCTGTTCACAAAGCAGTTTTTTTAAGAATGCTTGAAAAAAGGAAAACATGGAATGAAAAAGAGCATTACTTTAATAGTTCACAAATTTAACGATATTATAGAACAACAAGACTTGCCAATTGCAATAGGAGACTATTCTGAAAAAGTTTCTCCATTGGAAACTGGTAAACAGAATGTCCTCATGTATCACATGGCTTCTCTGCAGAGTGATGATAGGTCAGTAATTTTAACCCAGTAATTCTGAAAAAAGAAGCAGCACAATTGCATGTTTGTTAGAGCCCTTCCAGCCTGTCTGTGTGCTCTGCACAAGTCCTGGGATCTGGCCCCACACACTCACCCTGTCCCTGGACTTGAGGGTCCATCTGGTGTCAGGCAGGAGGAAGAGGGCTCTGGAGCCCTGCATTCTAAGACTCAGCCTCCAATCAGGCTTTATGCTGGTCAGGCTGTGACCTGTGCTGCGTGTCTGATAACTGAGGGGTCTATGTCCTTCCCCCAAACCCCAGGCTTCTATTCTGGTGTGTGGATCCTGTCTTGCTTCTCCTGCCTGAATCCTGGCTTAGGTAACCCGCCAGTTGGCCTAGTATTTCTCAACTTGTGACCCCATGATGTTGTTGCAAACTTTATTTCCCCTGGGCTGGGTCTGAACCCTGGTCCGGGGGTACAGGCCCTGTGACCTGTAGACAGAGTCCTCTGGGCAGCTGCCCTGCCTGGACCTGTGTTTTATCTGCTGCTAATAATCTCTGTGTTCAGCCACTTTGTCAGGACACCCTCAGCCCAGGACTACACCTGTAATGCAACCATTTAGGCTGATTACCGCCTCTTTCTCATTATTTTCTTAAAACACGATGTTCTTCCTTCCAGGCCAGACTTGTTCCTGGTACTGACAACTTATCTGTGTCCCTTCTCCCTGCCCACACCTAACCTAGTTAGTATGCCCAGCCTTGCCTGGCAAGAGGCCTCAGCTGCCTTTCTTTCAAATGAAATCTAGTTCTTGTCTCAAATATGAGACTCTTAACTGAGGCATTGACTAGAAAGGGCAGAAAAAGGAACAAGCCATGGCTAGCAGGCAGCAGACAAAGAGAGAAGGAGTGAGGAAGGGCAGCCCAGGCACCGGGGCCTTGGCCTGGCAGGGTGCATTTCTGACTCTGAGTTCCAGGGGCAGCAAAGTGGAAACTCACTAGCTTCCACAGCAGGGTCCCTCTGATCTGATCTAAATCCTGCAGTCTCTCCAGACATTGTGGCCACACTGCCAGATGCACACCATGAAAGAGCCATGAAAAATTGTTTGGAATTCCCCAGGCCTACCAGGCTCTCTCCCAGCAATTCCCTTCCTGGACTCTCTCTGTGTCCTCCGAGCCTCAGCTCCTGTGTCCCGACTCTTGCTGAGTTTGGTTCCCATCCTTTATCCTCTCCTCAGACTCAAGTGGGGAACTTACTACTGTTACCTCTGTAACTCCAGATCCTGGCAGTCGTATGTGCCCAGGAAATGCTGAATGAATGCTTTAATTCAAATGAATGAGTGCTTTAATTAATTCAACTGCCATGCCTCTAAAATCCTAAACACAAAGCCCCAACCTGCCTTCTGAAAAATGCTCATCCAATTGATAAAACACTGGCCTGTGAATCAGTAAACAGGATTTTTTTGTTTTGTTTTCGTCTCGTCCAATTGGGAACAGACAACCAAAAAGAAACCTTTGCCGAGCCTTGGCTGTGGCCACTCTCTGCTTGGAGCCAGCAACACAGAGAGGAGCCAGACAGGGCCACGGTCGGCGATGAATAACCCTTCCTTCCTCTCGTTTCAGTACAGTTTTGATAATAAAGTTCTACTGTATATGTAATTGGATTCTTTCTTGCTGTGATTTAAGCAGTCCTCCTCTCTGCGCTGAGTAGAATTACAACTCATTATCTCTGAAGCTCACAGGGGCAGCTTTTCCTACTAGGGCATGGAACTGACTCTCGGGGTTGCGCCACCTTCTCACCTTTGTCTTCCTGTGTTTATGTCTTCCTCGATTTTCAGTTTGTGCGTTTGCTTTAATGAGCGAGTACATCATATGCTCCTGTGCTGTTTGAGAAAACAATTTCCATCTGTATATATATTGTTAAAAAGTAATGGGTTCTTTTTTTTCCCTTAAAGTCTAATCCTTCCTTACTTTCTCTTCTAAAATACTGAATCTCCAATCCTTTGAGGTCCAACATAATTTACGTGTTAATTCCTTTCTAAGCTCTTTTGAAGCTACTGCACTTGCCATGCAGATTTCATTAAACCTCATAGTCTCCTCATACTGATGTCTCAGAAAAAGCAAAGTAACTCTTGCTGTATATTAAAATATTTTGTACAAGAGTGGTATCGTCTGTCCCCATTTCTGGACATATACTTATTTACTTAGCCTTCAGAAAGAAAACAGAAGTCTGTTAACAACTAAAGAGAATGCAAGCACTGGGCTTCTCTCCTCATTTGCGGGAAACATCTGCTGATTATAATTCACAGGGCTCTCATTTCAGGGTTTGCAGTCCTGAGTGGTTTCAGCCTTAAATCATCCTGTGTTGGCAAATAATAGCGAGGGCCAGGCCAGGAAAGAAACAGATGAAGCCTATGTACGGAATGAGATTAAATAAAAGCACAAGCATGCCAATATTCCCATTGCCAATATTTCTTTTTCTAATATATTCACCTTGGAGGCCAATATGTTATTTTAATGATGATGATGTTGAAAACCATTCTGTTCTGGAACTTCTTTGGAATTGATCAGCAGGACCCATCTTGATTTTTTTACGAGTAAGGTACATTTTAAGAAGTAGTGGCATGTATTAGATGAATAATCAGGTTGGGTCGTTCTAGATGGAAACTTTGAAATCGTCACACTTAATACGTGTTTAAATACTGAGACAAAGACCTGGGCCCTCATTCTGACTCTGCCGTCTGTTTGATTTGGAATGTTAGAAGTTTTACTTAAGCACTTTAGGCCTTACTTTCTCTTCTGTAAAATGGAAATCATACTTGTGAAACTTTCTGATGATTGGCAGAATAAACAGAGGCATCTCTGTCACTTACAAAACTTGATGTCTTTTGTGTGTCAGTTTGTTCTGCGCAACATCAGCATGGAATCCTGGAGTCTTGGAATTCTAGCACTCCGAGAGAGAATCCAGTCAAACAGTCCCATATTGCAGATGAAGAAACTGAGAGCCATAATTGTAGAGGAAGTACCTAGAACGTCAGGGTGACTACTTTGAAAGAAAATGCTTGTTTGTCATTTATATTTAGGGTTCTTTTTTTAAAAAAAAAACAAACAAACAAAAAAAAACCTTTTATTGAAGTCACACTGGTACACTATGAAATTAAATGGAGTTTTAAATAAATGGGACAGCAGTCCTCTTGGGGTTATAGATCAGAATCACACTGTTTATTCTGTTCAGCCCAGAGGAGGAGTGGAAATGTCCAAAGTAGCTGGCGGAATCTGTAAACCTTTTCCCAGAAAGGAAACGCTTTTGCTAGACCTTCTGTATCCTCTGGAGCTTCTTAGTAAACAAAGGGTGTGGTTATCCTTACATCTGCTTCTGGGCTCCTCCAGCCTTTCAGCACAGGTAAGCAAAGAGTGAGAGCATGTAGAGGCCTAAGGCACAGGCTGTACAGGAGAACTGTACAAGGGGGCTGTAGGGGGCAGCAGGGGGATGGGCAGGAAGGAAGAATGGAAATGATGTAAGATGAGTCGGGAGAAGATAGGAGAGTATAAGACAAGAAGGAAGTTTCATCCTTGCAGAGTAAAGGAGGGCACCATGATCTATCCTGGCCTGTCTACCTGGGAACATTTTCATGCCACCCGTGAGACTGTTTTCTGCCAACAGGGAAACCCTCCTGAACAGGATCCCCTTGTGGCTACTCAGTACGGTGTTTTCATAGTCCCTGCTGTTAGAAAGGTCTTACTTATTAGTGTCTGTATGTCACCTTTGAAATCACTTGCTTCATTATCACACTAAAAAAAAAAAACCGGGTTTATGCTGGAAAACCCATTTGTTTTGCACACTTTCTATTTCTATTTTCAAGTTTGTGTGTGTGCGTTTTAATACAGGGCATAAAGATTTCAAAAGGGTGGGTCAATTATTTGTTGACTAAATTATAGGAAGAAAGTGCAATTATCCAATAGAATCCAGAAATGTATATAGCTAATTTTATGCCTGCATGTATCTAACCCAGCCATAGGAATTGTAATCACTCTTTGTTTTGCTTTTTTTTTTTTTTTTTTTTTTTAATTTCGGGGGAAATAGGTTAGGTGGAACCTGCATACATCATTATAAAGTATGCACATATAAATTGAACTTTCCTAAATCTAGGTCACTTGGGTAAGAAGGCTCTTTTGATGAAACCACGTTGACAATTAGATTCACAGGGCACTTCAATGTTAAATGATATTCTCCCCATATTCTGGGTCATAAGGTGGTATAAACAATACACCAATGTTAAGAAATAGAAAATTGTATTCACAGTAATAGTGAAGCTTAATGGTGCATGCTTTTACACTTTAATATGCTGTGTTCTTTCTGTTGTATTAATATTTTAAGTAATATAATTTCCTTTGTGTATTTCTATGTTCATCTTTTCCTTTTTTTCTCTTTACCCTTCTGGCATAGCTTTCTATAATATTACATCTTATGCCAGGAGAAATTCCCGAAACATAGAAAGTATAAAGTCAAAACATCTTTGCAGGAAAATGGCAAAAACAACAACAAAAATGGATTTAATCTCCAGTCAAAATGTTATCTTGTATACTTTACAGACTCAATCTGTGTCCCAGGCTTTGATCCAAGCCTCAACATGATGACTGGAATCACCCCCATTAACCCAATGATCCCAGGCCTTGGACTGGTACCTCCCCCACCACCAACAGAAGTGGCTGTTGTCAAAGAAATAATCCACTGCAAAAGCTGTACTCTTTTTCCTCAAAATCCAAGTGAGTAACGCCTATGGGAACTATTTGCGCATTTTAAATTGTTTTCTTTTTAAATTTTAAAATGGCATTGCAGTCATTTTCAGATGTGACTCACACATAAATGCGCAGAGTGGGGATCCGTTCTACAGGAGGCCTTTTGTCTCTCGATTAGAATAAATACACAGGGATGTGGCCACGTGTCTGTCCAGAAGCTGAGTCCCCACTATCAAGCCAGTTCATGGGATTTGGGGATGTGTATCTGGCGGTAAGACTTTGCATGCAGTGAAGCCTAGTGTTTGCTGGAGAGCACAGTGTGAAATATGTGAGCACTTCCATCCATCTTCACAAATGTGGGAGAAAAACTCCGAAATGTGTTTTGCTAGATGGAAAGTTGAATTAATTTGACAGTTAGCAATTTGGGGGCCGAGGAGAGGGGAGCCTGCATCTCAGAGCTTCTGGACCAAATTGCATTTGCTTGAAGGAAACATACATTTGATGAAGTAAATGGGCCAGAATTTTATTTTTTAATTTTGCCTCAGATACTAAGTGTATGGGCTAAAAAAGCTAGGACTTTTTTTTTTCTGGTCGTTCATATTAATCAGAGTTGCCTTTTTTAAGTGGACTTTTCAGGAGATTGCTTTAGTAATCTACATATAAACTAGGTAAAATGTTGTGAGAGTGTACATTTTATCTTTTTATACAGCCTCCCCAAAATGTAATAGTTTGCTCATTTAAATGTGAATAATAACAAAGTGGTTTTTTCAGGCCCGGTGTTGCACAGCCAAGTAAGTATTGTGCGCGCTTTTGTGGGTGATGCTTCCTGTATTCCGCTTTGCTGCTCCTTTATCTGGAAACAAGACAAAGCAGATAACACGCTGAGGTTCTTCATCATGTTGTCATTTCATCATGTTTTGTACTTTGGGAAGTTTTTTCCCTCCCTTTTCTGGGCTTCTGTAGTATAAAGGAGAAATGAAATTATGCAAACATTTGCTTTACGTTTGTTCATGGACAAGCGTATAGCCACTCTGCGTAGCAATAAACACAGAAGGTAGAGGTTGGGAGTGGGAGGGGAGAGGAACTTAGAAACAAGACAGCCTGGGATAAGTGTAAGTTGGCACAGAAATGTATCGTCACTCCGTCTGGAGAAAGTTACTCTGCAAGCTTTAGTTTTGCCGGGAGAACCAGAGAGAGCAAATAAATGAAAGACAAAACTTTCTGTTTTGTTGTGATTATTAGATCTTCCACCTCCTTCCACAAGAGAACGACCTCCTGGGTGTAAGACTGTGTTTGTCGGAGGATTACCAGAAAATGCTACCGAGGAAATTATTCAAGAAGTCTTTGAGCAGTGCGGTGATATTACAGCAATTCGGAAAAGCAAGAAGAATTTTTGTCACATTCGCTTTGCAGAGGAATTCATGGTTGATAAAGCCATTTACCTTTCTGGTACTTTGCATTACATAAGGAGTTTTCTAGGCATTTTGTTATGTTTTGTGATGTTAATATGAGCTTCTTCCCTTTGGCCTTAATGCAAAATAAAGTCTTCACAGTTCGGGGCTGGAAAGGGAGGAATTCTGCCTTCTTCCTTGGCTGCCGGAAGCTCTGTGCTAAGTCTGTGAAGGTGCCTCACTGCAGGAGCAATTTCCCACCATCCAGTCTTTAGGAATTCCATCGAGTTTCTAATTAATGTTCTCAAGTGCTTATTAGATGAGAAGCAATATTATGAGTACTAAGGACCATTATTCTTACTGGATGTAATCCTCTGGGAGAGTAAAGTACTCTCTCAGAATAATTTCAGGTTTTTGGAAGTGGATTCACTTTCTGGACACCAGGGTACCAAAGCAAGGTCAGTTCCCTGCAGGAAAGTGGCTTAGGGGCCCTAGGAGAAAGGCACAGGATCATTGCCTCGTTGGTGGTTCATTAAGCCTTGTCCTTTGGTGCCAATGTTTATAGGCGATTTTTACAGATACTGAGATTAGACCCAGTGCTGCCTTCCCATCTGTGGGTGTTGGGCCAAGTGGATGGAGTCTGTCCACAAGGCCTTGCCAAATCGAAGAATTAGGGGCTGGTTTTGGAAGGACACGTTCTTAGACTGAACTCACTGCCCTTCCCTCACACTCCCCACCTCCATTTTTCAGTCGTCCCTCTGCATTTCACCTCCCTATTCCTGAGGCAAAGCTGATAAGGGAAGGTGGGAAAACAGTAGGGGTGGGGGGTGGTGTTGGGGGTACCTATCTGAACATTCCCGCCAGGTTTTACTTAATTTCTGCAGTCCGCCTCTATTGCCACGAAATTCTGTGCAAACCTCAGAAGCCTTGAGGTTATCAGCAATGCAGAGACTCTCCTGAGGTAGATAGTGATACGGAGAACTTTAAAACCCCTTATTTCAGTAAAACCTTACAAAGTAGAAAATAAAAACTAAAAGCAATTGAAAATGGATAAGGAAGACAAAGCATAGAATGAAGACATTTCATAACACACAATCCACTGTTAGACAATGGGGCTTCTGGTGAGTTCGTGGCACTGGGTTTCATGGCCTAGAGCCTGCCTCCGTTTTCTCATCTGCAAAATAAAGATAGTAACAGTATGACCTCGTAGGACTGTGAGGAGGAATAAATCAAATAATGGATATTAAGTGCTTAGCAGGGCACCTGCAACATAGAAACCATTCAGGAAATGGTTGTTTTTAACATAAATATCCTGATCATGATAAAGGACTGATTTTTCTATCTCAAGAACCCTGTCCTGGGGACCTGGGTTCTAATCACAGCTGTACCAATAAAACTGCAATCATCCCTCAGTACACTCGGAGGATTGGTTCCAGGAACCCCCGCCCCTGCCCCATGTATATCCTGCGGAACCCTCATGTATATGAAAAGTCAGCCCTCCATATATGTGGGTTTCACATCCCTCAAATACTATATTTTGGATACACATTTGGTTGGAAAAAATCCACCTATAAGAGGACCTGCACAGATTAAACCCATGTTCACAGGTCGACTGTATTCTTTACCCTACTTGATTAAATGAGAAGGTTAGAGTAAATCAAAGGCCCATTTCAACTCTAATACAACACAATGTTCACACCCAATCAGAAGCCTCGTAAGACACTGACAAAGATGAACAGTCCCAAATTTAGGCATATGAAAGGTGCTCCTTGATTGATTATACCTTGATCCTATGATTTTCCAGCCTGGGGGCTGGTCCTGCTTCCCTCAGCAAGCCCCTGATTGCTCCTTGGTCTGCCCCATTACTGTAAGAGGAGAACACAGCTAAGCCTCACCTCCAGCCTCCCTACCTGGGTGCAGAAGAGCCTCCTAACTCTGCCTCCCTGCCCTTGAGAGGCTGCAGCATCAGTCCCAGGAAGATCTGCTAGGCCAATTAACTGGAAAGGCAGGAAGGAAGTCAGGCGGCCCCTCCTGTGTGTGGGCTCCAGCAAGCCCAAGCCCAGCTGGAAGGCCTGTCTAATTTTAGGACCACATTCACATTTGAAGGCCTAGCTAATTTTAGACTCGGCCTCATCAGGGTCTCTTTTAAGTCCTTAGTGATGATGTTTCTGTGAAAGTGAGGGTGTTTCTGGAGCCAGAAATGTTTGAAAACGGATTCTCTGGACAATGAGCAGGGGAAAGGTGCTTGGCCAGTTGGGATAGCTGTCCAGTTGAAACAGTCCTGCCTGCTCAGCTGTTATGCCTGTATCACTGTGGCCTGCTGACTTGTTAAGTTCCCATGACCCACAACCAAGATACATTTTGCTTTTGCATTAATTCTGCACATCTGTGATCGGATGTTTTTGGTTTTGATTGGTATTGTTATGTCTTCCCATTTTTAGATAACACTTGAAAATCTAGCAGTGAGAAGGGTTCCGTGGCATCACAGAAACCAGATGTGAGGTCAATATCTTACTTGTAACTTTCAAAGGTGTAAAGTGGCCTCCTGGGAGGAGCCAGCCTCTACAGAGATTTTCAGCTGAGTTTTATCCCCAAATGCTAAAATAATCCATTGAAATCTACCATGAGATCGTGAACATCAGCACAGTGCAGCCTAGCATTTTACAGCTGTATCTCATTTGCAAAGCCCCCACACTGGAAAAGTGCTTATGTTGCTCTCTCCTCTGGCAGCCCCCAGCAGCTGTGGTCCTGCTGGGACCTGGATTTATGTTCTGAAAATCTGAGTACCCCAAACTGAAGAGCAACCTCAAAGTCAGTTCTTCTTCATTTGAAGTTAGGCCGGCTGACTGGTTTCAGTTCTGTTAGTGTTGATTTCTCAGATCAAGTTTCTGCTCATAATCTTTATATAAGTTGGGTAGCTCACAGTGAATCCCCTAAAGATTTCCAGGCCCATTTTTCTCTTTGTCTAGCTCTGGGCTCTTGCACCGGGCTCCTGTGGCCTTAAAATATTAAATGAACAATTTGTGTGGTGATGCATACCAGATGAGGTGCTGCAGGGCTGTGAGGAAGGCAGCGGTGAGGCCTCTTGATTGCAGGTAAAATATTCTCCTGCGTGCCCCAGAGGATAAGTGGAAATAAAACAGCGTTGCAAAATTGCCTTGGTAATTGTGCCTGTTGCAGCTGCTGAGAGAGAACTGAGCAGCGGCGTTTTCTGGGGGAATGTAGCAATAGCCTGTGAGTGAGATGTTCTGGAATTCACTTTGTAGATCTTTTTAAATATCATAGATGCTCTTTAGTTACTCATATTTCACCTATACAATAGAATTATAGTAAACTGAAAATATAATAAAACCAAGAACATAAAAAAGAAAAAAAAAATGCTTCATGCCAAATTTGTTTCTGAGCTTCCTAGAAGCCAGGGGGAAGAAGGAATGATCATGATAAGACCCTAGTTCTTGAGATCATCTTCTCTTGGGGATACCGGTTTGGAAGATGGGTAAGCAGCCCTCGGAGACAACTCTCCAAGGTGTGTTTATCCCCAAACCTGTAATAGGCCTAACTTTACAAAGCTTCAAGGTTGCTGGGGAAAAGGATAATTGCTTCCCGCCTCCTATGGGAAATGTATCTGTAGTAACAGCAAAGAAATAAGTGAGCATTTGCCTAAGTGTGCCTTGAAGGTCTGGACCAAAAACATGTGGCCATTGTGACATTATGGTGTGACCAGAGTTTCCATTGGTTTCAGGTTACAGGATGCGATTAGGGTCTAGCACCGACAAAAAGGATTCAGGCCGCCTTCATGTGGACTTTGCCCAGGCCAGGGATGACTTCTATGAGTGGGAATGCAAGCAGAGGATGCGTGCCCGGGAGGAGCGGCACCGGCGCAAGCTGGAGGAGGACCGGCTCCGGCCCCCATCCCCGCCCGCCATAATGCACTACTCAGAGCACGAAGCCGCTCTGCTAGCTGAAAAGCTGAAAGGTATGCGCCACCCACGCTGGCTTTTCTTCCTGCACAGGGATCCCCAGACACGGAACCCCTGTGCGTTTCTCCTGCCTCTTCACCGTTGTCCCTTCAGTACAATGTCTGCTATGCCCTAAGATGGCCATAAGAGTCTGGTGTAAGCACAGACTCTTTACAGAGCTGGGGTGGGGTCGCTGGGAGGTCCCCTGGAAACTGCAGACACCTGGGCTTCATCTTCTGCCTGGGACAGAACCCTGCCCCTTCCCAGAATGCTCACCCATGTTCTCCATTAAAGTGTATATGTACAGTCACTCAACAAAACTCACTGAATGAGGGGACAGAAAGGTCCCCAAAGCAGGCTATTCTGACCCAGTGTTTAATGAGCCAGGCAAGTATTTGTGCCATTGGTGGGGCGTTCTTAGTGTTCCTCCAGCCCTGTAGAGTGTGCGTGTTTACCAGACTCCGAAAGCCTTCATCAGGCAAAATTGCAGACATGGTGCTGGGGTCCATCGAGAATAGAAAAGAAACACAGAATGGGATCCCTGCTTCAGAGATGCAGTTGAGGGGATACATGCAACGTTTACAGGACGATTAGCAAGAGAAGAGCGTATGTTTTATTTCTTCTAATGTTTTCTGAGGCCCTCCCTGGTGTCTTATGCTGTGGGAAATAAAGACATAGGAAGGCTCTAGTACCTGCCCCCGTGAACTACAGATGCCAGATTTTGAAGTTAGGATGACATGTGAATTCAGTTCTGTTACTGACCAAAGTTGTGTGAGCTGAGCAAATATATGGGCATTTTACAGGAAAATGATGGTCAGACCCTCCTCAGGTCATTGAGTGCTGTCAGGATTTGATGAGAGAACATGTCACAGTTGCCGGCCACATGTGGGTGTCTACAGATAAACAATTAACTGTAATACCAAGTCAGTGGCATGATTGTCAACCAACGTATATGCACCGTGCTTTGGGGATTCAGGGGCCAGTGCAAATAATGTTGATGAAAGTGTCAAGAAAGTCTTTATACAGGAGGCATAATTTGAAATTTGCAGAATAAACTAGATTGTTTTTCCCCAGGAGAAAAAGAGGCATAAAGCCATTCTAGTTAGAGGCTGGAAACCTAAGAATAAAATCCCACAGAAGCAGAAAGGAATTCAGCATAGAAGCTGCCTTTCTAGAGCGAGGTAAAGCTAGAATGGCAGTCTGGGCCAGATGGCAGAGCCCCGAAGGCTATTGCTGGAATTTGGTTTTATTCCGTAAACAGTGGAGAAGCCATCACAGATTTCTGACGAGAAGAGGGATGTGATTGATCCTTCAAGTGTTTTAGAACATAACTGGTGTATTGCTGGCAGTGTATAAAGTGGATTGGATGTTTTCACTAAGAAAAATGTATGAAAAGCTGCCTAACACCTATTTTAGGAAGATAGGAAGTTGACATTCTACACTTAAAAAAAAAAAAAAAAAAAAGGTGGCAGCGGGGGCGCTGTGCTTCCAATCTTCCATCCAGGGCTTGAGAATCCTTAATCAACTGCAGTTGCCACTGAAATACCCGCACTGTAACCAAGGAATGCTTCTTGCTGAGGCTCTTGTGGTGTGTTCTGCTGCTTTGAGAAACCATGTCTTACCAATGTAAATACATAGGCCATAGCTGTCCCTTTAATAAAGGGCATATGCAATGCAGATACAGACATCATCTCACTTTTCCCTCCAGCCTAGAAACTGCAAGGAGTGGCCAAAATGAGATATAGCAGCAATGTTCTCAACAAGGAGTGTTCACTGGAACAATAATTTTTCTTTAATATCCAATGTATTATGGTATCAGATTATGATCTACACAGACTAACTGTATTCAGTTTGTCCACACCGAGAAGTGACAAAAACTAGCACCTTGATCTGTGACCTCCTGGAGGAATTTCATAAAAGTGTATCATCTAGTTATGTTGTTTTTAAGAACCCAGTACGGAAGTGTCTCCGCACGTATGAAGTATGTGGCATTTGCCTCTCCTTTTAGAGGATAACAGATTGGGATGTCAATTTGGTAAAGTAATTTGCAAGCCTTGCCATTTCAAAAGTATATATTTATATAGATGAGTATAATTTGCAGAATTCAGAAGCTGTACCTTTGCCAAGTACTGTGTGATCCCTTGAGGAAAGAACAGATTGGAAATCTTAATAGATGGCTGTTACAGTAGAATGAACTAGCTGGGGACACATCTTAGGCAAGAGTCAGGTAATATCAAGCTTGACAATTTCAACCCAAGCATAGAGTTTGGAATATAAACAGCATTTAATTGCTTAGGAAATTGGCTGCCTTAGAGAGGAAATCCACTCCATGCTCCTTATAATGTTGCAAAGCCAGACAGGAAGAGCTGAGGACCCTGTTTCCCTGAAGATGATTTCATTGATATGAGGACATAAAATACAGTCAAGACCTAAGGTAAAGAAATCTGTGTCAGAGAGGAAATGGAAATGCAATCTGAAAACACCTAATTGGATTTGATTTTTTTCCTCCCCTGAGAAATCTTACTTAGATTTATTACAGATACTTTCTTCTATTTTATATCATACTTGTTTATTCTTACAATTTTCTCTTTGAAACTCAGCTTTATTTAGCAAAATCTGTACAAACCAAGTCTTTCTTATGACCCACAATGCCCTCTCCATGTCCTGTCCAATGCTAAAACTGTGCACATAGTAGGTGCTCAGTAAAATAATTCTTTTCTCTCTTCTTCTGCTCTTTGGATCTATGAGCACATTGAATTTCTGGCCAGTGGTTCTACTGGGCATGACCGGATGTACATGGAAATGATGCGATGTGTGCTCAGCCATCCTTCCAATCACTCAAGAAGTATTCATTAATCAGTATTTTACCATATGCCTGGCACTGACCTAGCCAGTGGTGGAAAGGACAACAGTGAACAAGCCCCTGCCTCAAAGAGTTTAGATGTCTTGAGTGACAGAGGCAATAACAAATCACCTTGCGTTTGCCACTTATAATAGTGCACTATTATAATAGTATATTTATTATAATAAATATACTAATCCCCTTGTTATATGTGGGAAGTGCAAAGTGCTGTCGCAGGGGAGAGAGCCAGCCCAGATGGGCAGTGCCGGAGTGAGAGAGGGAGGATCTTCCAGGACCAGGTTATCCCATTCACTGGCTACTTGACCTTCTGAAACCAGAGGTAACACTATTGTGTTTGTGTAGTGTCTGAGACATGGAGTCATCCAGTGCCTGTTACATTAATGCAAATTCTAAAAAAGAAAATTAGTAGGCATCCTGCTGGTTACATAGACATCATTGTGAGACAGTTCAACTTAATGAAGACCGACTGGGAAGCAACTGCTCAGAAACCCAAAGTTTATAGCATGGCTTTGAGAAAGTGAGATGGAGCTCAATAACACCATAATTACACTTTATTGGAAACAGTGGCACCAGGCAGATGAGATAATGAATTTCAGTGTGTCTAACACAGACCATCCACCCCTGGAGGAACCCTGTGTTTGGACTGTGGAAGGAAGAGATTGATTAGACAGTGAGGAAGGATTATATTCTAATTCACTGGGATTTCTCTTGGCAAGAGCATTTAAAAGTTTTTGTGTATTTTTTACCCCCTTAGAAAGCTTCACATAATCTTTCATTTTGTGATGAAATGAAGAGTTTCTCTCTGAATCAGGTGAAGTCCTGACAAAGCCTTGCAAGCAGGGCCTTTGGGATTCCCTAATGTGTCAACAAGAGTACCATCCTCCTGGGATCAACATTTATAATTTCCAGAGAACTGGACTCTGATTTGCATATAGAATGGCCCCATGTCAGCCTGCCAGACAGAGGAAGGGGCAGATGTGGTACCAGCATTTTGCTGAGATGGTTGTCAATATTTATGGTTCCATGAAAGTAAAAATCAATAATGTTATGAGCCAAGTGGATGTCCCATTAGCTAAAAGCCAGACTTCCTTCATAGGGTAAGGGAAATATGAAACATAGGAGCCTGTTTGCAAATTATTTCCTTATGTGTTATTGACCTTCAAAGAGGTAAGATAGGCCGTTTTATTTAGAAACATTTTGCTTGACCCTGAAGCAGGAATAATCGGTGCATTTCCATATTGCCGCCTTAATTTTCTCATTTTTACAGCTACTAACTAGTTAAGAAGATTGCGTGTGTGTTTTGGGGGTAGAAGGGAACATTACCTGTCTGTTTAGCCTTTTATGCTGTCTGTGATCTGGTTAGTTGATGCAGGGTTAATTGAGCAGCCAGGAAAAGGAGACTTGTTTAGGGACATGTACAGAAATTTGGGGATTGTGATAGCAGCAATGCTTTGACCATACTGAAATTCCACATCTGCTTAGATGACTATGTGACTGTACACTGTGAGCAATTTCCGGCTGTCTTTGGAGCCAGAAATCATTGATAACTACAGACACACTTTTACTTGTGTGTGTATGTGTGTACACATGTGTGTGTCCCTCCATTTCTTTGGAAAGAAAAGCATTTTAGAATGTCTTCCTTGTTTTCCCACGTTCTGTTCAAACATAAAATCCCTGTCTCCTCATTGTTCCTTTATAGACCCAGGTGTAAATAAGGAAACTATAGCCCACCTAAGTTTCATATTCAGTGCTCCCGGCTTGGCTCTTATTCTATCTATTGTTCGAAATTCAGGGCTGCCTCTTCCTGTGCACACAAAGTGGGAGGAAAAAAACCACTTAACGGCCGGGCGTGGTGGCTCACACCTGTAATCCCAGCCCTTTGGGAGGCCCAAGTGGGTGGATCACCTGAGGTCGGGAGTTCGAGACCAGCCTGACCAACATGGAGAAACCCCATCTCTTCTAAAAATAGAAAATTAGCCAGGTGTGGTGGTGCATGCCCGTAATCCCAGCTACTCAGGAGGCTGAGGGAGAAGAATCACTTGAACCCTGGAGTTGGAGGTTGCAGTGAGCCGAGATCGCGCCATTGCACTCCAGCCTGGGCAACAAGAGCAAAACTCCATCTCAAAAACAAAAACAAAAAACACTTACCAATTT